CGGTAAAAGTCACATAGAAGCGGTTCCCATCCTTCGTGGTTGATCTAAAGGGTCCACATACATCGGTATGTATTAGGTCCAATAGCCTCACCCCTTTACAAGTATTCGTGAAGGGTGACTTAGTCATCTTTCCAAGTAAACAAGACTTGCATGTGTCATCTTCCTAAGGTCGAATGACTCCAACACTCCATCCTTTGGAGTTGGGCTATGCGTTTCTTGTTGACATGTCCAAGACGGCAATGCCACAAGGATGCTTTATCCATACTAGTGGAAGAATCAATATTCAAAACATCATTTCCTAAGTTATCAACAATCATAACAGTTTCATATATTCCATTACATGGTATAGCTTCAAAGTAAAAGACACTATTTAGATAAGCCATAATAGAACCATTCTCATTATTAAAAGAAAATCTAAATCCTTGTCTATATAAACCATGAAATGAAATGATGTTTCTAGCCATTTCTGGCGAATAGCAACAATTGTTCAAATCTAAACATAAATTATTCCTAAGCACTAAAGAATACACTCCAATCTTGGTAACAGGCGACGATCTTCTGTTCCCCATGATTAGATTGATCCTTCCTTGCTCCACATCCCTACTTCTTCTTAGTCCCTGCACATTGAACAAATGTGATAACCACAACCGGTGTCAAGAACCCAAGAAATAGCATGATTAGAATCGTTAGATTTAATTGTGTATATACCTGCGAAAGATGGCTTGATCTTTCCTTCTTTGATTGCTTGCAGGTATTCTGGGCAGCTTCTCTTTCCAATGTCCTATCTTGTGGCAGTGGTGGCACTCTGCCTCCTTCGGGTTAGGATAGGGCTTAGAGGGATCAACTTTGGTCCCACTAGAAGAGGCAACCATCTCGGGCTTTAACCTTGCGATAGTTCTTTGATGAAGCCTTCCTCTTCTTTCCCTTTCCTTGACCAATTGCCAAGACAGGAGCAGCAGACGGATTGGGAGTAGGTGCAACAGACTTGTCTTTGAAGTTGCTCTCAGCGACTCTCAAAAGACCTTGGAGTTTGCTTAGGGTGACCTCCTCTTTGTTCATGTGGTAGGTCATCCTAAATTGGTTGTACATTGGAGGCAAAGAGTGAAGCACCATGTCGATCGCTAAGTCTTCCCCAAAGTCAACATTTAACTTGCGAAGGCGATCGACATACCTTTGCATCTTTTGCAGGTGCACGGTAAGAGATTCTCCATGACCCATCTTAGCGGAGATCATGTTAGTGAAAATCTCATAACGCTCTTGTCTCGCGTTTTGGTGGTATCTCTCCAATAAGTCTTGATGCATCTCGTATGGATACATGTCCTCGTAGGACTTTTGGAATTCGGAGTTCATGGTGGCAATCATGATGCAATGTACCTTCGTTGCATCTCGCTCATGATCTCAAAAGCGGTGATTTCGGCCGGAGTAGCGATTTCGGGGTTGATCTTCTCAAGCTTTTCATCGAGGACATACTCCTTATCCTCATGAGCAATGGTGCGAATGTATCTTATCCATTCGCTAAAGTTCGTTCCATCGAAGGTGACCTTTTGGCAAAGGCTCATCAACGTGAAAGAACTAGCACAGCGTTGTTTGTGTTCGACATCTATAGAAAGGACAAAGATAGATTAGAATAAGAATCCCTAATTATCACCCAATAAGAAAAATTAGGGTTAGGATCCAACAATAACATTTACATATTAGAAAAGGGATGCCGTAATCTAACATGAAAATAAATTGAAGGTAAGTGAATGACGATTCACTAATTCTCCATTACAAAACCTAGACTATTAGTCCTAAGTGTATTGAGAATTCCTAGGTTCGGATGAGATTCATTGAAACTATTCAATGGCATGTTTAAATCTCGATATGCCCCTCTTGTTTGTGACTGGGATGCCGAGGATCACAAAGCAGGTGTGAATTACCATGCAAATTCACATGGTGCCTTCATTGTAACGATCACCTATTCGATGTGTCGGTAAACCACACACGCTCCATCGAACTATGATAACAATGAATCACCCTTTGCCACCTTTGCTTAGAACCAATTAGTGTGCCGGTAAACCACACACGCTCCACTAACTTCTTAGCAAGGGTGCAAAGTGTAATTTCATGGGATTGCATCAATTCACTTTTCCTAAAGTAACTAAGATTGGGAAATTTTTAAAACGTGTAGTTACTTTGTATTTCTTATTATACTTTTAATGAGAGGATGAGGTTGCCCTATCCTACCGTTCGGCTAACGACCCTCCACCAATCAAGCAAGCGGTGGGTGTGAGTGTACACCCATTAAGCGCCATTTTATAGGCCGCAACCTTATACCCACCTTATAGATCGGCTTCGTGAATGAGGCCTACTAACGGTAAGACTAGCATTTAGTTATATATATATATATATATATATATATATATATATATATATATATATATATATATATATATTCTAGTAATATCATATTAGTACAAGGTTGTGTTTTAAACCTTTTAAAACGTAGGGTTTGAAATTTAAGTTGTCTAAATTAAAACTTTTAATCACAAATATAAATTTCAAAACTTGAGGGCAAGTTTTAAACATTTAAAACATGGAGGATCAAATAACAAATAATTCCAATTAACAATTAATGTCCTAATTATCTTTATTTGATTTATCCAAGATTTCTTTTAAGATAATTATCAAAATAATTAATCAATTATCATATAAGTAAATTAAATATTTTATTAGATGATAAGTATCTTTAATTAGATCAAGATTATAGTCATATATATCAAAAAAACGGATTAGGGTTGATCTAATATGATTAAGGTAAGTTTCCATAAGATAAACATGAAAAAATCCCGGTTTTGCCTAATCCTGATGCCCGGACTCGCCGAGTCAGGCCTACTCGCCGAGTCCACTTTGGAACTCGCCGAGTCCATGACTCAAAAACCCAAAAATCGAATTTTGAAGGTTTGTTTCAGTTAATCAAGCAACAATTTAAAGAAAACCAAACTAGGCTCTGATACCACTGATGGGTTTTAGCCATAAGAACTTTCCTATGTGCGCATGCAAAACCCTAATGCTTGGATCTAGGCTTTCTAATTAAACATGCTTTGAATCCAAGACTTCTAATGGCTAATTAGGTTAAATTACAACATTGAAATAGATCTAGAACCATACCTTTGAATTCCTTCTTGATCTTGTTGTCTTAGAGCTTCTAGAGTCACAAATGTCACTCCTCTAATGGCTTACAAACACCAATAGCAAGAAGGATGATTTAGGAGAGAGGAGAGGGGAGGAATTCGGACAGAGTATCTCTACTTTAGATGGTGTGTCGAATTCCCTCACCCCTAGGGTCTATTTATACTTGTAGACTCCTTAAGGATTACAGCTTTAACCCTAATTGGATAACTTAGACTTTAAGTTGATCCATATCCTTTCCTTGATAACCCTATGGACGATTTTGGTTTATCCAATCCCTAGAAATCGTCCAACCTATCTTGGATAAGGATTTATAGTCTAAAGTGTAACTATCAAACAATTGACAGTTTATACCCTCTTATTTAATTAATCTCTTTAAGTCACCAAATTAATTCCAATTAATCTATGACTTATATTAATCAAATAACCATATATTATTCCTTATAATATTTACTCTCTCTTAACAAATCATCCATCAAGTTGCTATGGTGAAGGCAACCCAAAAGGACCATGCACAACCGGATCAAATACTTGCCTAATATAGTTGCAGCCTTAGACACTATTCCAACATGAGTTAGTTTATTTGCTAAGGATTAGGGTAGTGAACATGAACCTAATCACTTGAATCGGTAACCAACGAAAGAATTAATCCATTGCACTAATACCTTGAAATCAACCATAAAGTTAACCGAGTTGAACTAAACAGAAGTTCCTTTCCCATTATTGAATCTAGTTAAATTGTTATTTTCTAGTCTTAAATTAGTTATAGTTAGTAAGTTTCTAGTCTTGTAAAACTAGAGAAAAACCCCTATTTTCTTAATCAACTTAGATAGAATTAGTTTTTAATTTAATTTGCCGTTTCCTGTGTTCGATACCCTGCTTATTTAGCTATACCACAATTGATAGGTTCACTGCCTTTTGTGTGTTATTTGATAATTAAAGTAGGATTAAAACTAAGTGAGTTTTACACACATCACTTCATAACCCACAAATCTGAGAGGCGAGGTTGTGTTTGGTTGTGTGTTTGGTTTGATGATGGGGAGGTGTTTGGGTTTTGCTCTATTTTTTTAGTAAGAAAGTTTATAAAAGTATAGATAGAATGTTAAAAAAGATGTAAATTTTGAAATAAAATGAGTACACATGTAAGTAAAAAGGTGTGTGTATATATATATTGAATGTAGACTGTTTGCAAATGGTCATAAGAGCCACAACGGTAATTTTTTCCCGTTTCAATTGAAGGACAAGATGCAACGAGTTGGGGGGGGGGGGGTATGGAGGGTCTTACACTTTATATTACGGAAAAATGAATATTAGGATAAGATTATACCTGAATGATGCGTTGGATTGTCTTGATGATGGATTATGTTGAATAATTAAATGTTTATGTGGATAGTTTGGATAGAGCTCTGCTATTCAGAAATAGACAAACTATTTCAACAGAGAAGAACTTTGAGATCAACTCAAGTCTTAAACACTCAAACTTAACTTGTTTATTTCATATGGGCGAATGCCCTATTTATAGGCTCGAAGGAACCGGTTACAATTATTGTTGCAATCATTTGATTGCAAAACGACACACATAATTTACAATATAGACCCCTAGACTATGGAGGGTCTTACATCCTACCGACACTATTTTAATACAAACGACAAATACAAATTATTCTTGCCGACACTTAGATAATTACAAAAGACAAGATAGAATTATTATCTTCTATAATGTTTCGTTATCTTCAATGATGTGTTTTCTTTAATAATGATTGCTTACGTTATTCTCATTCCTCCCACCTCCACAAAGACATATTTTTGAATAGTGTTTTGTTTTATCATTAATCTTCCATAAATGGTGTTTCTTCTGTGTTTTCTGAACAGTGACTGCAATTGTGTCTTGGTGCATGCATAATATGTTTACAAAGTTGTTTTTTGATATCAGCAGGTAATTCAGCTAATTGATGAGAAAACTTTTCGAAAGTTTGTTCGAAGGTTTCAATTGCTTTCATTGCTTCCGGAGTGATTTCACTGTCTGTTAACGAATAGATAATGAAAGTTTTACTGGCGTAATTCACTCTGATTCTTGACTTTTGATCCTTACCGTTGCCTATGCGTGATGATGCTAAATAGACACCGGCGAGTGCAAAAATTAGATGATCCTGTGTTGGTGATTCTCGTGGTAGATCATCTTTTGTTGGTTTTGAGCCATTGCTTATTCTCATGTTTGCGAAAGTAATACTTGGGACAATTAGTTGAGAGTCTTTATCAAAAATTGGATAGCTAGAATGCATTTTAATGAATAATCCTCTTTCATGTTTTGCAAATCGTATTTTATAATTTCTGATGATAGTTTGCACAACAGAAGGGAACTCGTTGATGCGGTGTAAATTGGTGCCTTCTAGATAGATGGTGTCTATGAATCCATGAATAAAATATTCCCATAAAGTCATAGGATCTGATAAGTCGGCTAAGAAAACTGCTTTAGGACCTGGGCATCTGGCTACTGAGTAAAAGCCCATCAAGGAATGGACTTCGGTGTATGAAATGAGGTTGTCCCATAATTCGACAATTTTTTTGGCAGATGATTTTTTCATGGCTTCTTTTTCTTTGGTTGATAGAATGGATTCACGGGCAATTTTTGCATTTAATTGGTTAAGGGATCTTGGGATGGATACAGGTTTTTGTGGTGTGAAGCTGGATATAGGTTTTTGTGGTGTTAGGAGAACTGTTTTTGAACATTCGACGTTATCTTTTATTACTGCTTTGTATGCTTCGTTGTATGCGGTTTCTGCTTCATTTTTCGTTCTATAACTTTTGTGAATGATATTTTTTCCAAGAATATATGAACTGGCGATTCCCCAATCGTCATATACTCCTTTGTTTTCTCCGTTGAAAATTACGTACCATTTCTTTATATTTTTATGATCTGCTTGTAGTGGTGGATACCCCTCCTGGTGTGGCGTTATGGTTTGTTTTTCTGTTTTGAGTGCTATTTGTGGTTGACTTTCATCGGATGATGTTTCTTGAATTTCTTCTTTTGGTTGCTTTGTTGTTGAGCTCCTGGCTGCTTCTTCTTTAGATGCTGAATAAGATGATAAAATTTGTATTGTTTGTTGTAGTTGCTCTTTTTCACGTTTGACTACTTCAAGCTGTCTGATTAATGATGCTTCTTGCTCCTCTTTTTTTCTGAACTGGTGTTTGACTTGCTTCATGATGGCTTCCATTTCAATATTTCTGCTGAATGAATATTTGCGCCTTTTGGGTACCTGAATAATTGCTGAATTTTGTTTGCTTTTAATATTTTAAATGATGATATGAGAATTTTCATATCAATGTATGTTTTGGTGATATTTTCATATCACTGTATACTTTATCATTGTTTACTTTGGATGGTATTTTCATACCAATATATGCTTTAGCAATGTATACTTTGGATATGTTAGATATTGTAACATACACGTTATGAAATTGTGTATTGTTATTATTAAAAGTGAATAAAATTGAGTGTTGAGTTCTAACATCTAGTTTTTACTATAAATGAAGTAAAACTATGTTTAGAATCACTCATAAAATATTGGAAGTCTTATGAGATTCCAATTAATAGCCAAATAGTGAAATTTAGCGAAAATATAAAATTTGAAATAAGTAAAATTTTATTATTTGATGTTGTAAATCATCTCGTTAGAAACTTGTAGGCGAAAATGTAACACCCAAAGTTTGGAAGGCCATGAAAAGAAAGAAACCCTTAATTTTAAGGGAGACTCGACGAGTCCAAGGATGAACTCGGCGAGTCCGAGCGGGATCCGGGTCAAGGAGTAAGTGACCGACTCGGCGAGTCGGCCAAGGGGACTCGGCGAGTAGGGTCTGTGCGAGGAAAACCCTAAAATCGGGACTTGGAGCCTATTTAAACGTCTCATTCTCTCCCCTAGGGCTCCTTTACTGCCACTTTCACCCATAACACCAAACCCTAGTCGCCTTAATCATTGATTGAGCCAATTGGAGCCTTGAAGAGTGCATTATAGCTTGGAGACGGAAGAAGGATCTTGGAGGTGCAAGAAGGGGCTATAGATCCGGGATTGGGAAGATATTTCTGAGCATTTGGAGGTAATAAACTAGTTCTTGGACTCATTTGCACCTAGATCTATGTGTGTGTTTTGGGAATTTTTGGCATGGTAGTAACCATTCGAGCTAGGGGTTCAGATCTGAGGTTGCTACCTCAGATACATGCTTATTTTGGTCTAGAATCCCGTAAAGTATCAGCTCTTGGTATATTGGTGAAGCATGGTTGTCATAAACCCTAGTTTATGGTGTATTTTGCCTAGATCTCCTTCTCTACACGTAAAGTTTGCAACTTTACGTGAGGAATAAGCTTGGGAAGGGTAGATCTACAGTTTGGAGTCCATGCATGACTCAAAAGTCCTCTGCATGTAAGGAGATCTGAATGGACTCGGCGAGTCCTTTGAGTGGACTCGACGAGTAGCATGAAGGTGAGGAGCAACTCGACGAGTGGGATGAACAACTCGTCGAGTCAGATGAAGATTGCCTTGTACTCGGCGAGTCTGTTCTTGGACTCGGCGAGTCAGGTTGCGAAACCCCAAACCCTTCGAGTTGAGACTCGAATCAGTGAGTCGGGTGGAGACTCGGTGAGTTGGACAGGTCAGGACTCAGAAATCGGTAGACTCGGCGAGTCGAGACGCGAATGGAAGGAATCTGAACATTTGAACTCGGCGAGTCAGTAGGGTGACTCGGTGAGTAGGGTTGACCTGGAAGGTTGACCTTGACCAGGACTTTGACTTGGACCAGGGTTGACTTGGTTGTCTTTCGGGGGTCAGTAGACTCAGTGTTGCATTGATATTGGTAGTTCGGGGAACAAAGGGAGCAGGAGTTCAGTGAGTTGTCGGGCAGCAGTTAGTGAGTTCATCAGCAAGTTCAGCTAGTGCAGGTGAGTTTCCCTTTGTGTGAATGGGTCTAAGGCCACAATGTCGGCCCATGTAGTTATGAGTAGAAGACCCGGGGGTTAGCCCTAGGCACAGTATGCTACTATGATATTCAGGACGAGGTCCATTAATAGTAGGCGGGTTCCCAAGGATTTGTTTATATGATAGTTTATACTTGTTGTCTGTGTGATACATGTATGTGCCTTGTAGGGAGGTGAGTGTGGGCGAGGTCCCGTATCTCACCAATAGCAGAGTGTGGATGGTGTTCCACATCTCACTAGTAGCAGAACAGGGGCGAGGCCCAAGCTAGGGAAGGAGTGAGAGTGGGCGGGGCCCGTATCTCACTACCAGTATGAGCGTGGACGGGGTTCCATGACTCATCAGTAGCAGGACATGGGCGAGGCCCAGGATAGGCGAGGCCTTAGGGCAGAACCAGTTGTATGTGTTTAGTTATGTGTTGTGATATGTTTATGTGTTATTTTTTGTTGGCGGGCAGGGCCCTGTGATAGGCGAGGCCTAAGTAAAACAGATCTGTATCCGAGCGGGGCTCGAAGCCAGGCGGGGCCTAGAGCGGCTGGGCCATTGTAGCAGGCGAGGCCCAAAGTAGGGGGTGAGGCCCAAGATAGCGGGCGTGGCCCAGTATGTGCAGTATGTGGTTATGCATGGTATGTGGTAGGGTGGGGAACTCACTAAGCTTTGTGCTTACGATTTTCAGTTTTGGTTTCAGGTACTTCCGGTAGCGGAGGGAAGAGCTCGGGGTGATCGCATGGCACACACCATAGATATGACAACCTGGGAATGTTTACTCTGATAATGAACATGTGTTTTGAAAAATTATACTCAGATTATGTTTTGGAATGATGACTTTTCCTAAAGTAATGTTTTATTAAAAGAAATTTTTGGTCTTAAATTTTGGGTCGTTACAAGTTGGTATCAGAGCCTTGGTTTGAGGGATTCGGACATGCTCTCGGGTGTGTCTGAACTCAAATTGAGGAATTGTTATAGAATTTTTCAAAATGAAAAGACAGTTTTGTAAAAAGTGAGTTTTGAGAAAGAAACGGTTTTAGAAAAGCAAAAAGAATTAAAAAAGAAAAGAACTTTGAAAAGAGAAAAGAGGTGTGGTGCATGCAATCAACCGAGCTCAAGTAAGTACCCCAAAATACCCATACAAGTCTATGTTTTGATTAACAGTTAATAGAACAACATGCTAGATTTGGACTAAGGATCTAGGGAGGATGCCTTATGTGTCTGTTATATGTGCTTTTGATCTGCATGATAGTACCGATTAGACAGTAGTAGGATAGCTTGTTTAGGTTATGCCCGAGTTTATGAGTCGTGTTGCATGCTAGTTCAGATTCTTGCTATGTGGATACGATTTCTTGAGTATGTTATGGTTAGATTTTCCCTTGTCTGGATGTTGCTTGCTTTGTGCATTGTGGGATTCTGAGTGATGGGAGTTAGCCATTAGGTGGATACGTCATGTCACATGTGATCAGGGTTGAATAATATCAGAGTGTTGGATTTGGTCCTATTGCGCAGCTCTTGTTTGAGTCCAACCGTTGTAGGAATGAGTCCTCTACTTGAAGGATTATCTGAGCCTCGTCACATGTGATGGTATCCAGGTGATGGCTAATTGGCATCACAAGGAGACCTTCAGCAGCTGAGGGCTGGTTTGAGTTGAGTCAGAGGTTTCCCTAGGGTAAGCCTAGGATGAGGTAGTTCTGGGAGCAGTAGTAGTAGAAAGGGACCTAGTGGAGTCGAAGCAGTTCTTGAGGAAATTACGGATAGATGTGGAAGGTAGTATGGGCCCGTACTACTGAAAGCAGAAGATTCGTACTCGATTCGAGAAAGGGCGAGACAAGATCGGGAACCTGGTAGTGACTATGTTTGGTCTCGCAGCAGTGAGGAGTATTCTGATAGTGGTTATGTTATATGTTTCAGTATGGTGACGTTGCGAGAGAGACCAGCGAGCAGATCAGGCGCCGGAGAGGGATCCGGCTTGGGTTCAGGGGCCGAGCAGCTCGAGGAGTGGATGAGGGAGTTGATATCAGCTGAGGTTACGCGCAGTATTCTAGCTCAGACTCCTGTGATCTTTGGAACGGTCAAGGAGGGTATATTAGAGATTTTGGATGAGAGGCTGGGAGCCTTCCGTACTGAGATGATGGAATTGATGGGAGCGCGTACCTTGACATTTTGGGAGTTTAGGGCTTGCGGGGCACCAGATTATCATGGGGCTAGGGACCCCATCGCGAGCAGCAGATGGTTGGCTGATGTTGGCAACATGTTCCGTACGAGCCGGTGTCCTGAGGAGGACAAGGTCAGACTTGTTGGCAACCCAAAAGGACCATGCACCATCGGGTCAAGTACATACCAAAATAGTTATGGACTTAGACACTAATCCAACAAGACTCGCTTCCTATCTTCTGAAGGACAGAGCGAGGGATTGGTGGGAAGAGACTGGTCATGCTTTGGGTGATGATGTCGCGTTGGACGCGATGACTTGGAGCGATTTCTAAGCTAGGTTCAGGGCAGAGTTTTCGACGATTATTGAGGTGCAACAGCTGGCTCGGGAGTTTCAGGATTTGACGCAGACTACTGAGACTGTGGCGGAGATCACCGCCAAGTTCAGGGAGAGGGCTCTTCTCGTACCGCAATATGTTGTGGATGAGGAAATGAAGAAGGCCCGATATCACGAGATGCTGAGGGCTGACATAAGGGAGTTCGTGAGCAGGTCCGGTTGTAAGACGCTAGAAGATATGATTTCTCGGGCCAGGGAGAGGGAAATTGATTTGGAGCAGATCCGGAAGAGGAAGCCGGATGAGGTTCAGGTAGCCGCGAGTTCGGGCAAAAGGCCCAAGGGATCGGATTCGAGATTGAGGGATTATCAGGACCAGAGTCGATGCGGAAAGTGTGGCTGGGCGCACGGGGGCGCGTGCAGGAGTGGTAGTGGTGGTGAGTCTGGTTGCTTCAAGTGCAGTCGTACTAGTCATTTTAGCAGGGATTGTACTATTACCACCACTCAGGGATCAGACTTGATATGTTTTCACTGCAATCAGCGGGGCCACAAGAAGGCCCAGTGCCCCAGTTTGTTTTCAGCAGGATGGGTGATGGCACCTGCCCCTGCAACCTTGAGGATCACAGACGGCCGTCAGGGCCGTGCGGAGGCGCCTGCGGTAGGAGGCAGGGCTTTTCAGATGGATACTTTGGAGACGCGAGCAGCGTCGGACGTTGCAGGTATGCGATTTCCGTTTTCAGCTCTTTTGTTTGTGCATGATGTTATATTGTTG